CCCTGCAGGCCCATTGACTGTTGTACCACACTCAAGCCAGCGCCTTGAATGTGGCAGCATGTTGGGAAAAGCTGCCACCACCACTTTCCCAAAGTGCCGCCGCTGTTGCATTCTGTCTGTTCGTCCGTCTGTCCGTCCAGCCATCCAAAAGGTCTGTCTGCCTCCCTTCCTACCTACCTACCTGCCTGTCTTTCTGTCTACCTACCTATCGACCTACCAATATAGATCTATCTATCTACCTACCTACCTACCTACCTACCTACCAATCCATACATCCATCCAAAAGGTCTGTCTGTCTTCCTGCCTACTTGCCTGCCTGCCTGCCTACCTACCTACCTACCTACCTATCTATCCATACGTTTATGCAAAAGATCTGCCTGCCTGCCTACCTGCCTACCAACCTATCATCTATCTATCTACCTACCTACCTACCTACCTACCTACCTGTCTCTCTATCTATCCAACGATCCATCCATGTTCGAAGCGCCATCCGGTAGAGTAGAGCAAAGGCACATTGGTAAAGTAGAGCAAAGCCAGTCTGGGAGGGAGGGAGGGAGGGAGGGAGGGAGAGAGAGAGAGAGAGAGAGAGAGAGAGAGAGAGAGACCTGATGCATCAGATTGAAATGAGGCCTAGTTTAGACTGAGGCCCTTTTCCACATTGAAACATCTTTGCCAGCACATTGAAACATATTTGGCTTCTATTAAAGGTTTTGTGGATGAAACATGGTCAAGACTATCAGGAAGCTCTCACATTTTGTTGAGGCTTTAAACAGGATCCATTGGACCAGATCTCCACCCTAAAAAAATACTTTTCCCCAATGTATTACAGTGCCAATTCTTAAGAAGGCAAAACCAAAATGAACTGGTAAATTACAAGGAGAACACACACACTCCCTTCTAACCCTGCCGGAGCAGGTGATTGGACTAAAATAGATATCTCATTATCTTTCTCCTCCCTTCCTCCATCCCTCCCTCCCTCCTTCTTTATTTCTTTTTCTTTCTGTCCCTTCCTTCCGTCTCCACCTTTCTTTGTCCCTTTTTCTTTCTTTCCCTTTTCTCTTTTCTTCTCTCTTTCTTTCTCTCTTTCTTTTCTCTCTTTCCCTCTCTCAGGCTCACCCCATTGACTTGGTGCACTACTCCGCTCGGACTTGCTTGGGCAGGTCCCTCCAGTGCAGTGGGCTCAATGGGGTGAACCTGCGGGGCCGGCCCCTAGAACGTGGCAGTGGCAGCACATTTGAAAAGTAGAGCAAAGCCAGAGTTCAATAATTTTTGCTGCAAAGAAACACAAAAGCTTCTGGGCTGTGCACAAGAAGGGACACGCATGTCAATGCAATTCAGTAACATAAAATAAAGAAATACAAATAAAAATCAACAAGAATCGGCAAAGCATCTCTGATTATATTCTATTCACTACTTAGAATCTAATCAGAGATGCTTTGCTGATTCTAGTCCAATGACCTGCTCCAGCAGGGTTGGAAGGGAGTATGTGTGTATGTGTGTGTGTGTATACATGGCTGTGAAAACTCCAAAAACAGGTCAAGTAAGTCTGGGGAGGCCAGTCATAAATTAGAACACTTGCTAAACAACTGGCCATTAAGTGAGGACCACTTGCATTTGGTTTGCCAGTCACTTGGCCGTGCCCACCCAGTCACATGACCACCAAACCATACCTACCAGGTCACATGACCAGCAAGCCACACCCACCCAGTCACATGACCAGCAAGCCACACCCTCAAATTAGGCCACGCCCACAGAAACTTGAATCCCAACCCTGGGTGGCGGGGCACTGAGGTTACAGTTTGTAGCTGCAAGGGGGTGGTGGACTGAAAAAGTTTGGGAACCACTGTTCTATACTCTTTATGTGCATGACTGCATTCCCACTCACGCTAATAATACTATTACTAAATTTGCAGATGATAACAGTGGTGGGACTCATCTCCAGGGGGGATGAGTGTTCCTACCGAGATGAGGTGGACAGGTTGCTTTCGTGGTGTGGAGACTATAACTTGGTCCTCAACACCAAGGAGTTTACAGTGGATTATAATGGATTAGACCAAAGATCTTATAGTGGATTATAGAAGGAACAGACCAGACATCCAGCTCTTGCTTACCAATGGAGACCAAGTGGAGCAAGTGGCCAGTTTTAAGTTTCTGGGTGTTACCCTAAAAGAGGACCTGACCTGGGGTGCCCACATTGCAGCCCTGGTCAAAAGGGCCCAGCAGAGATTATACTACCTGAGACTACTCAGAAAACAACTGAATGAGAAACTGTTGGTGACCTTCTACCGCTGCAGCACAGAGAGCATTTTAACATACTGCACCTCTGTATGGTTTGCCAATTTCACAGTGGCAGGTAGGACAGCACTCCAGAGGGTTAGCGTCATTGCCCAGAAGATCATTGGTTGCTCTCTCTCCCCTCTTTGGAAGAGTTTTATAGCTCCTGCTGCCTTAAGAAAGTTCAAAACATTCTCAAAGATCCATCTCATCCTGGGCAACCTTTTTTTGAACTATTACCATCTGGCAGACGATACAGGATAATAAAAACAAGGACAAATAGGCTGAAAAACAGCTGCTATCCTAGGGCAGTAACTCTATTGAATTCTACTGTATAGTGCAATATTAATGCAATATCAGGCGTTTTCAATTCAATGCATAGAATGTGAAGGATGTGTGTTTGTGTTTATTTTCATAGTCATAATATACACTGAAAATTGCATTTAATTTCATTGTACGAGGTGCAATGACAATAAATTAAACATCACTCTCTCATATCCCTTTGTAGGAATCTTGGTTCATTCCTTCATGGTGAATTGCTTCAACCCAAGAATACTTTGACAGGTTTCTAACTTGAATTGGTTATTTCAGATTCTATCTTATTCCTTTGACTTGGCCATTCTAAAACAAGTATTTTGTTCGTCATTCTCTTATGGACGTGCTTATAGCTGTAAAATTATTTTTTGCTGCATGACTCATGTATCCCAGTTTCAGTTTACATTCAGTTTCTCCTGTAGATGCAAAATCAGATCCTTGCCTACATCAATAAGGGCAACTAAGACAGATCCTGATTCAACAAAGCACCATCAAAACCATGAGACAAGCATATGGCTGTCCTTGGCAGTTGACATTAAGTTCTTATTGTGAAAAGCAATGTTTTGTTTCCACTAATCTCATGAAATATTACATGACCACACCAAACTTAACTACATCAATTATATTGTCATTGTTAATTGCAATTGGTAAGCGAGACCTTACATGGCCATGATTAGCCATCTCCATTGACTCTATTGGAAGCTGGCTGTGAAGTGTTTAAATGGTGATCCTATGAGTGGGACACAGCAATAGTCATAAACACTTGTTGGTTGCAAAATGCACAAATTTTAATCCTGTGAACATATGGATGCTGCATGGTCGTTAGTGTGAAGATTGATCATAATGTGTTTCAATGCAAATGTAACTTTGAATGGTTCTAAACAGGGCAGACTACCAGTATTGCCCCAAATCTTCATTTCAAATAAGAAATGGTTTTGTAATCTTTTTTCCATCTTGATAGGTACCAATCATATCAAAAAACTTAAGGAGGGGCGTGAAATTTCTGTAGACTTGGTTTGATGATGAAGGAGATAAAATCTGTGAGGTTTATTCAGGGCAGGGCTAGCCCAAATTACTTTATTTATTAAGAAAATACATGTGGTCATTCAACTCATAGTGATTCCATGTAGCTTAAAGAAATAAAATACCAAACACCAAACCCAATAAACCCTCTACTACCCAGCGACAAGTAACTTGATGTATTCCATATCACCTTCGGTCCCCAGGCCTAATGACAAAACTATGTTCAGGGCCCTTCAAAAGGGCATCAAGGTCTTCTCTCTGTGGCAATGATGTTGCCCAGGGAAGGAATCACCACTGAGAAAGCCCTTCCTGGTCCCATTAAATTGGTGATAGCAAATCTATGACAGGTGACAATGCCATGTCATTTTTGGTGACACACCAGACCTCTGGACCCCCTGGACATTGCATAAGGCAGCCTTGCTCTTGTGCAGCGTGTGAGACATCCAAAAATCACACAAGTATTCTTGTTGATTTTCAAGGGCTCCAGAGCAGGGGTCGCCAACCTTTTGGACCTCAGGGACCACCAAACTCATAATTTTAGATTCCATGGACCACTAACTGGTTGTGTGGGTGTGGCCTAATTTGTGGGTGAGGCTTGGTGGTCATGTGACTGGCTGGGCATGGCTTGTATGTAAATATTATAAATATATAAATATTGAATTTTTTATAAAAAAAGAGCAACTTTTACCCAAAATCAGGCAAAGCAGGGAGGCAGATTGAGTTGCTCACAGAATCAGATTTATTCAGAGATCTATCTATCTGCCATTAGCTAGCTCAGTATGTCACATAAAATTTGCTTGCAAGCAAACTCATAAAATTTGCTAGCAAACTCACAAAATTAACTCACAACACACCATGCATGTAAATATTGGATTTTTTTATAAAAAAAGAGCAACTTTTACCCAAAACAGGGCAAAGCAGGCAGATTGAGTTGCTCACAGAATTATTCAGTGATCTATTTATCTGCCATCGGCTAGCTCAGTCTCTCAAATTTGCTTGCCATAAGTCTGCACTGAATTTGCTTGCAAGCAAACCTTCAGTCCTAAGAGAGGCTCGGCTGTGCTGAGCTGAAGAACTAAAGATTAGCTAGAAAGCAAGAAATCCAACCATTTCCTGCTTCCTAGCTAATCTAAATCTCCCAGCACAGAACAGATGATGGTCGGAAAAAGGAAAAATAGCAATTTAGCAGGTAAGTTCACCGGGTAAGGAGTGTGTGGGCAGGGAGGGTTCCCGCAGGCCATGTGGGCAGCGCAGCCTTGTGTTTCTGAGCAGCCTGGATTAATTGCTTTGGGGGGGTGCTCTGGGGGTGAGATTTCTCTGCTGCCCACCAAAATTTTCTCATGGCCCACCAGTGGGCTGCAGCCCACCAGTTGGTGACTGCTGCTCCAGAGGCCTCATGAAAGCAGGGTCTCACACGCGACTTCCACATGAGTGTCTGGAGAGGAAATCCAGAGAATCCTCTTGTCTCAACTGAGGTGTTTCATGACAAGCCATCAAAGTGCTTTCTGAATTTTTGACCTCCAAAACCCAAAAGGCTTGCCATCACAGCATTAGTTAGAGTTACTTAATGAAGCAGTGGTAACAGACCCTATCTCCCCTCTCTAGTGGGTTGGTAGATGTAACTGAAAAGACAGTCCTTCAAATAACCCTGGATCCAAACCATGTAGGGCTTAAAGATAATAACCATTACCTTGAATTGAACCTGGAAGCGAACTGGAAACAAATGAAGCTCCTGCAAGAGGGTTGATACATATGCAAATCTACATTTTTAGTAAAATATTAAAACAAGAGGTCCTGCTTGTCGTTGTTGACTTGATTGAACAGAGGGACAATTACTTTTTCACATATTGAATGCCTTTTTATATATAAAAGAAATATCAAGTTTGGTATTACTTGTTCAGTCACATTCCCTTTATATATCAGTAAGATTCACGAGGCTCTAATAACATTCACTGCTATGTATTCAACATTTCAAATTTCCAATGTAAGATGAAAGAAAGGACTATTTAAAGAACACTCATATAGGATTTCAGATGTTAGTTGTGACATCAGTGAAGGCTCTAAAAATGCTCCCTTTCAAAGCTTCTCGTTGCTTCAATATCCATCTCTGTTTCATAAATAGATTTTTACTGCTTCCTTGCACATAGTTTTTTAAAATATGTTTTGTTCTATGGCTACTTCATATAAGAAACTCACTAAGTGATGAACTTGATATAAACACTATTCATATTTAGATCACTCTGAACAAGAAACAGAGGCAAGCACTGCCCCCTAAAGTCAACAACAACTAGCAGAGTAAAATCTCCTTTACTTTTTGAACAAGGAAAATAAGAGCTCTTAAGAGAGGAAAGGTGTTGGAATTTGGAGGACATGGTTTTTGTTCCATTAATTCAATATTAAGTCATTACTGGGGAAGGTTTAATCTGAGCTCTAGTGTCTAGTTGAGAATCGAGCCAATTTCTGGATAAATGATAAAGTTGAATTATACACAAATGGACTCTTAAATTATATGTAGAATGCAAAATGCTTCTGTACCAGTGCATGTTTATGGCAGAATTATTGGAAAGGACTACTGATCATTTTCTCCAGTACTGACATAAAGAGTATATATTATCCAATCTCCTTCAGCATTTTATAGTTTTAATAGTTATTTCTTGCTTGTTCTAAACTAGAAAGAGCCATTTGCTTAATCACATATTATAGTTGGGAACTAGAAAGATTGAATAAATAGGAATGCTGATCCTAAATACAAACTGAACAAGTCAATAATTTGTAACAGGGTACTGCACAAAAATCAAAGGCCTTGAAACATACTAATTAATTGCCTGACGTACTGGCTATGATATCCTACCCCTGCTTTTATTCCTTTTTCAAACACAGACTCATAAAAATGGAGCCTGTTGTTTTATAATCAGTTTAATAAAGAACCTGGCAGAGAATGACACCTTAATAATTCCGGCCAGGTGCTACCTATTTGATTGACTGGAAACCTCCAAGGTCTCTGCATGAAGAGATTTAACTAGAGGCCCCGAGGTTTGAAGAGGGGGAAAAAATCTTTCAGTGAGTACAGTTATTCCTCTAGTTTGATATGAAACCATTCTTAAAACATACCTTTTTTTGCAATGGAAATAATACTGAAACAGCTACACCAAAGAAAAGTATTTGAAGCTGATCAAATTTTCAGCTCTATGCAGAAAATGCCCAGCATAGAGCCAAATAAGTTTGTTGCAGTCTAAAGATAATTTAGACTGAATTCCTACTGCAGTACTTGTTTATCCTACACTACATCAAATTAGGTACCCCTTCTACAATTAACAATTTCAACAATTTCAACGTGGTTTTCAGAATAAACACAGACCAGACTCTCTTTAAGAAGGACAAAATGTCCCAGCACAATAGAAAGGCAACTAAATCATTTCTAACTCCAGAATCATGCAGTCAAGTGTCGGCAAGAAAGAGATTACTAGCTGCTTTCTTCCATGATTGAGATTAAAATGGTGTATAAAAAGTGAATACCGCTGCCTTTTACCATAGTAAGAGAAATCTCAGAACATCTGAATCCTTTCCTGCAGGCCACTGGGATTTTTCTCTGAATCAAATGGCTGCTTTTTTAAAGAAAATATGAAGAGGGAAGTCATTTCTTTTTACATTTCTTTTCTTTTTATACACCATATTCTTACCTTTTTCTTCTACTTTCTTTCTTGTACTGTTTTTAATTGGCATTAGTTTCTTATCATTGTACTAGTTTTATAAAATTTCTATTAACCCCCCCCCCCCATTCATCTTCATTAAAATAATGTATCTCCAGAGGGATTTGCTTATTTTAAATTAACCATGTTTTGGCCATTATACTATGGACCAGGCCTCTTAAGTTTTGGACCTAAGCAGAAGACCTAAAAGACTGTGTACTCCCCTTTTGGAACAACCAGAATATCTCCCATCCATCTTACCTCCTTCTAACTGGCTTTGGAAATTTGCTCCTCAGCTTCCACAAACCCTGAGGTTTCCCAGAACCTCCTATACTGTCTCAAATAAGCTTACATTCAATATACCCCCTGTGTTAACCAATTGCTATGACATTCATCTAACTGCCCTCCACTTTATCCAATGTACACTCTCAAGATTTCCCCCTTCAGTACCCTGGTCCCACTATGGCCCCTTGATGAAGGAACACATATATTCTGATTTAAGGCAAGGCCTTATTCCTGCCCTCCCCGCTTCTTCTGTAGAGTGTTGCGAATTTCCTCGTGTTTCCCTTTTCAGATGGTCCTTTAGAGCAGCCATAGATGGCCAGACAGGAGCCACCTGTAGAGGGTCCTCTGCAGTGCTTGCTTCTCCTTTCAGTTCAAGTTCCTGCTGTACCAATTCCAGTCAGGTCTATCCTCTTCATTCCAGGCACATCAGTTTTACCTGGATTTCTCATTTGTGCCTTTTACTTATTCCATCATTTGTTCTTCTTTGTGAACAAAATGTCTTTAAGGACATTTACAGTATCAGAAATCTGTGCTGCCACCATCACTAGCAGCAACCAAGGACCTTCATCCTCTTTCTGCCTTCCATAGGCATCTCTGTTCAGTGTCGTATCGCTTATTCTTTCTTGCACATTTCTGATTTCTTGGGAGGAACCAGTGTTTATTCTCCTGCTTCTTCTCCCTTCCACTTCAACCCAACGAAACAAATGTTGCAATCTGCTAGCATCCACTCCCCAATTCTCCCTGTGCCACTCCCAAATTTCCCTAGTCTGTATTCTGCAAAAACAAGGACCTTTACCTCAACCACCCATCAACCAATTCTGGAAGACTCAAAAATGAACTTCAAAATGGAGTCCCTGCACTCTATTGCGAAAACAACCATCCTACAAGTTTAAGCAGAAATACAGATTGTGTTTTTACAGATGAGAGGGTAGCAAGAAACATAATTCTCTTTCTCCCAGTTTGATATCTGTTCTAAGTGTATATGGATTACAGCTGATTTAGCTCAGAGGGGCCTTCTATGACAAATGGCCACTGCTAAGTATACAATAAAAACTTGTTTGTACAGAACCATTATGCCCACATATTACTTCTCAAACTGATTCAATATGTAAGTTCAGTTTATACTGGTGTCAGATTGCATTGCTCGAAGAGCTGGAAGTCCAATTTTTGCTTCTTTTAAGAAAATCAGTTCAGGAAATGGCTGGTAGGCAAGTAGAGTCTGTCTGCCTCAAAGTCGTCCTTTAAAGGCTGTGCCGATTGATACTGAAGATCTTCACACAGTGATCCGCCCCGCAGCTCACCAGCTGCAGCCACTTGCTGCTCTCGGCTGTGTCCTGCCCTGCTTTGCCCACAAGCGTTCTCCACTGCAGTCGTTTGACAGTAAGGGTATGGCTTTGGCTGCAACAAAGACAGAAGCTATTAGTAGAAGGAAACTCTACTCATCTCTCATAATCACCAAATGTCAAACTCAGCTGGACTTTGTCAATTCAAAACATCAGCATTTATCTAATTAGTGTGTTCCTTTGCTGCACTGCCAGAATGGAAAATCTAAACTTGTCACTGCCTGTAGGTATTAAAGATGCCAGAGCTATTATCAGTGCAAGTGACATTTCTTCACTTCATCCCATTAATAATTCAAGCAGCAATCTACTTATTTTCACTGCAATTTCAGGTCAAACATCAATATTAAGAAAGATACTGCTACCCAGGAAGCTAAGAATCATACTGGAAAGTTCCCCCTCAAAAAAAAAAGAAGAAAAAAGGAGTCAGACTATAAGTGGCTTGAAGTAAGTGCCTGATTTAGATGCAATGCTAAATTATGGTCAGGAATTCCCTTGCAGGCTTGTATGCTCTTTCTTTCTGGATTCAGAGGTTATCTTTTCCATTCCCACATGGTTTTCATTGATCAAATCTGCCATTAGGTCTATAGATGTTTATGGCTGTAAAAGCCTGTAGATTTTATCTTGCTTTTAAACCACTGCTTTTAAATGAATTTTAAAAACATAGCTCCAAATTGTGTCTTGAAGGCAAGCTAACCCCATGCAACACATCCAAATGACACCACAAATAATGATAAAATTTTGCAGGGGATCTACACACCACAACTTTCTAAGAATTCTTCCAATGACTAAAAGATCATAAGACAAGTTTGAAGAAATAAAAATAACACTAACCAGAAACCTGTATGAAAAACATAACCAATAATTTTATTCACAAATTCCTCACCCATGTGAACTTCCTCAAAGAAAAACAATTAAAAATAAGTATTAAATTTAGTTCAGTCTTGTCTAGAGTAGGTAAATGTACCCCAGAACTAGGTAGCTAGAATTAAAAACCTGTAAGTTTGCACTATTATAGAATGCAGTGCTGAGTTAATAAATTAGACTTGCTATTTATGTATTCACATTGTGCCAAACTATCTAAAACCTAGCTATTATAGCATGGAGTGTTTATTACTATATTTTTACAATAATAACTATTGGGATTTTTATTATTTTATATTGCTGTTCATCTTGAAGGTGCCCAAATGGACTCACTATGATATGGTATGTATGTGAAACTAGGCAAACAATTTGAAAGAGGAACAAGGAGAACAGATGTTCTGGTACACCAAGTAAGCCATTTGGGCCTACTTAAATGAATGAAAATGTTAATGGCATACTGAGAAATCCAAACATTTAAAGTCTCATCAGGCTTTTACAGCCCTGCTATACAGCTCCAGTTACAGCCCAAAGGGCTCAAAAGGCACGTAACTTAAAATCTTATTTTGCGTAAGAGCAAAATCAAATCTAGATCTATTTTTAATTTGAAGTTTCAAGAATCTGAACAGGAATCCTGATTACTAACTCAAAGAAAGGTAAGGCCTCAAAAAAAAAAAAGAACCTCTGATTAAAAGAGCTGTGAAATATGTAAAGCCAGGATGTAACCGAATTTCTTGTATTTGGCTCAGACTAATGAAGTTAACTCAAGAGAACGGGCCACAATTCAAGAAGCCTCCAGATCCAATTAAGATGTCCTCCCTGCCATCTTCTGTTGGGCAATCTAAAACTAGTTCGCTCTCGCTCTCCTTCTTCTCTCTCTGCCCACCGTCTGTAATACAAGAATCATATGGAAAGGATACTGACCTATTTTACAGGATAGCTGAAAGGATTACAATAAGATAACGTAACATGAGCCACTTTGAATTCCCTACAGTGCTATATAAAGAACGAGTGTTTTTAATTCACTCTTTGCCCTTTTCCAGGGCTGAGAAGCACACCAGGGAAAACAGAGGTCATCGCTGGCTTCTAGTCTTCAACCTGCACTGTAGGAATCTGTGGTGATAGCTCACTTGGTAGAAAAAAGAACTGTCTCTCTTCCCCTTGCTCCCCTACTCGAGTTGTCTCTCCTTCCTCATGATAAATATACGGGCCTATCAAGTTGGGTAGATGAATTCCCTAGAATCAGCTACAGTTGCAATATCATAAAGTCCGTGCACCGAGATTACAATCATAACAAAGCTATGGCACATCACTGTATCATTTTGATCAACTGTATGACCTTACTCATATTATCACACAAAATTTAGTACAAGGGAACCATGGGGCCAATATTTATTTGATCTAAACCTGACCAAAATTAAACTTTTATAATATATTACCAATATTACCTCTAAATAAGATAACTTTTTTAAAAAAGCTAAGGAGAACATGAATGGGGGGAAAGAAACCACAGAGAAAGGCAAAGGATTCTAGGTGTGCTTGATATGCCATTCAAGGAAATGGTACTTGAAACATGAATGGAAAAGGGCCAAGAGCCATACAGACATGAACTCATTCAGTCTGTTGTCTGGAACTACATCCCTACATATTCTGCTACCGTCTCTTTCCTCCTGAAGTCAAAGTGCCCCTGAACAAATTTGAGAACAGGGAGAGAAAGCAAGAACAAATGGGACAATGCTGACTTGGAAGAGGAGATAAAGATTATATCCAACTTTGGCTTGCTTGACACAAGCCACCTCATTCCATTATTTGTCCTGATGCCCTACACCCACTTCAACTCCTTATCCTTCCTCAAAGCCTTCTCGGGGACTCCAATCTCTCTGAGAGGCTTTGAGAGGGCATAGAAGAACTGAAGGGGGTAGAGAATTCATCTTATGCAACACACAATATTTCAAATCTTTATACAAAATAATAATTCAGTAGATGCTCTCTTTATCAATTGCATGGCACTAAGAACATTCTGAATATTTGTTATATGTTTGCATTTTTTTGAATATGCATTAACTTTTCAACTGAAGAATAAGCAATCTGATGGCCTTTGAATATTCCGGCCCAAATCCCATCGCCAGTCATCAACACAGACAGTGCCAAGGGATTATGGTAACCGAAATACAAATTTCCAGAAGGTTTCAGGGGGCTTCCCTGTTCTAATTTAATTTACACCCTGGAAACCAATAAAGTCTGCTTACATTAATTATAAACATAAGACAAATGTAATAGCTCACCTGTAATCTGTCTCAACACACTTGCACCAATCGGAAAGTGGCAACTTTTTATTGCCTGGCTTCCATTTATACAATTGAATCCTCCCACATTCTGTCCCAATGGCAATTATGAAGCTACAGAAAAGAAATAGGTGTGTCAGGTGTTAAAGCAAGTATTTTAGTTCATATATTGATAGCATATTTACATTTTCAAAGATGTCCCACATCTTAATCACCACTTCTTCTCAAAAAAACATGCTCAAACTATGAGGCCTAAGAGAGATTACCAAAGAAACTTCTTGCTTCTTTGCATCAGTCAACTTTGCCTCAGGGAACTCCTGTGACTTTGGCAAGTTGGCTTCACAGACAACTGTTATAGTCAACCAAAGAAGAAAACAGTCGATCAAAGGCAAACTCGTTTTCTACCAACATTTGTGTCTCCCAAAATACCCGCTATCATCTCAAATGATCTTGTATCTTTTTCTGTGCAGGAAAGCAGTTTTTAAGCAAAATTCTGGCTGCAGTCAAGCACAATGTCTATTCTTCTCTATGAATATGTATGCAATTTTAGGCATGCTGGGGGAAAAAAAGATTAAGTTGGAGCTCTTTATGTCAGGGATAGCAGGGAACCTCATGAAGGTCAAAGAAGGCTTCCAGTGGCATATTAGTATCCCTAGGAAGCAGATTATTTATTCTTGATGAATTTTCAAATCCTATAGAGACTTGTAGGAATAGACAATGTGCTCAACACATAGTCCTTCCTTGCCATGCTTTGCAAAGGAGGAATGGTCTATCACAATGGCCCCAACTTTTGGGCACCAGGGCCCGGTTCCATGGATAGAGGTTCTTCTGCAGACCGAAGGGGTGTGGTTTTGTGTTCTGCCTGCATCCCATGGATGGGGCTTCGTTTGTTTGCGTGGACCAATTTCTGACATGCTGCAAACTGGTGCCTGTCCACAGACCAAGGGTTCGGACCCACTGGTCCATCGATTCAAATTATGTACATCCTAATACAAATACCTGATGTACATGATTAAACACGGATAAACTTTGATAAAGTATCGATTTTATATGAATATATAATTAGGTAAACCATTCCCTGAGAATCTATAAATTAAAAAAAAATTAGAGGAGAAAGAGGAAGAGTTAGGAGCAGTATAAGAAGGATACTGCTGCCGATCTGTTTTTCCTTGGCATAACTCAGACAACAAAATGTGTTATGTATTATTGTCATGTTCAGTCTTCAGTCATTTCCAGTGTATTGCTTGCCAAATATGACATCATCTTTGATCATGCATGATCTTTAATAAATATTAAGGAAGACATTGTTTGGCTGCATCTATGAGACCCCACCCAAAAATGGTATTTTGTTAAATCATGGGTGTCAAACTCGTGTCACGTTGCCATCATGTGACGTATTGCAATATTTTTTTCCCTTTGCGGAGCTGGGGTGGGCGTGGCCTGCATGTGGCACATCCGGCCTGCAGGCCGCCAGTTTGATACCCCTGTGTTAAACCTTAATCTAGATCAGGGTCCCCAAACTTGGCAACTTTAAGAGTTGTGGACTTCAACTCCCAGAATAGCTGGCTGGTCCTTGGAGACCCCTGATCTAGATAAATGGCAGAGGATGCAGAAGTTATTAATCAAATTATTAATAGGCCACCCTAAGGCAGGTGTGGGCAATCTTTTTCTTTCAAAGTCTACATTATCTCAGGGATAAGGGGGTAATGGGTGGGCCAATCCATTTTTTTTCAGACACTTTTCTTTTTTTTCTACCCTCTTATTGTCATTTGTCAACAGTTCATTGTTAATGCAGGGACACAGAGCTGTGACAGAGGTTTGGATTTGTCTCCAAAGGCGTTTAACGTAAGATCAAAGGCCTCGTGAAATTAAATGAAACCTGACTGTTATCCAGTCTGTTCTAAAGAAAAGTCTGCATCTATTTATGGATTGCTTTTAGTGAGAGGAGAAAAATCCTCAAACCCTATAGAGGTACATACATAAATATTTGCATAAAGTCATAATCATGATGGCCTTGCCCTTATATATGTAGCATTACATCTAAATGGCATTAAGCTTCCCCTCCTTCCAACTTATGTTAGCCCCTTACTCTTCCTATAAGGCTTAAGGTTACAAGAGAGTGTATGCCATTTAACCATTATGACCTAACTAAACTCTAAAGCATAGTGCAAATTGATGAAGATTTCTAGCTTTATTTTAGGCAGCTGACCAATATGGAATATTCTGACTTAATGCGCAAGGAAATCTCCAGAATACAAAAAATACATACCTCCCATCAGAAGCAAGTGTATGACTAGCACTAATTGCAGTAACCGAATCACCAACATCCAGGACTGGTGAACAAGGCTGGATCAGGGCCAAATCCTTATCTTTATTCTCCTCTGGTAAACATTTACCCCAGATCACAGCCTGATTGAAGTACAAAAATCAGTCACGTTGAAAATGGGATGCTACAAAGCATGTGAATATACATATACACACCCAAATACCAAAACCGTAAAGCAAACTGAGAAGAATTAACTGTTCTCCTAAAAAGAGGGAGAGAAGTTTGCATGAGCCCACTGATGATAAATCCTCGAAGTACATGAAGTACATGTTCAGTGCTGTTACTCAACCAGGTCTTTAAATTAAAATTGGGTGATTCCATATAAACAGCAACAGTGATCTCAGTTATAATAAACTAATAATTCACATTTAAGTACATCAACTGGTTATACAAAAACATCACACTTGAATCATTGGTATAATTCAATATTGAGAGCAATATTGAACAAACATCTTTCTATTTAGCTTTATGATGCTGAATTTCATAAATCCACTTGCATACTTCAAGCACAACTCCTCATCATGCACTTAGGACAAATTTTTTTACCACCATTCTGCTAAACGTCTGACATATTACACTTTTCTCCAAAGATTAGCAAGAAAGCAAATGTTCCACCCCGCCTCAATTTTTTTTTTTTTTTTGCAGAGGAAATGAAGAAAGGGGGATCAATACTAACTACAATTAACAGTCTTTTAGCAAACTAAGTGAGAATTTGTCAATCCTTCTATATCTGAACCACTGCTAAAAAAGAAAAATATGCTGCATTAATAGTTTTGGTTAACATTGTCCAGTGGTATCAAGAAAGCCAACTAAATATATTATGACATAAGTTTTTGTGGGCAAGAATTTCAGAAAAGGAGGGCTTATACCCAGTGGGATCTGGGGCTTTTTCTGACTGGGAGTGGAACACTAGCCTGCTATTTCTCAGCATAAGCCCTAAAATAGGTTTAGCCATTAATTAAAAATCAAAGAAGAGTCAATCACATCTAAGAAGAAATATCAACCAATCCTAAACCTTAGGTCTTTCTAAAAAAAATGTGTTATAACTTAACATGATCACTTGTGGATATTTGTCCAAATAGTTCAAAGGAATGAAAGATAGCCAAAGGACGTAGTCACAGAAAGCAAGCAGTGTCTGACTATAGTTTCTTCATTGACAATATATTTAAAATTGGGGCATCTTCTTCAAAACCAAACGTTACTATAATATCGAACATGCTCAAAAACAACAGCTGTATCTATAAGCTTTCAAACTATTTACAGCCTGAGCACTGATGTACATATTATCCATTCTTGCCTTGTAAAAATGATTCTGAGGATTTCCTGGGGAAATTGGGTTAGGAGAAAATAAAATGCATTCCAGGTTGTTCACTCTCAGCTTTACGTGAAGTACATGATGAGAATTTTAAAATCAAACTAGAGGAAAAACAACCAAAAGGCAGCCTTTGAAATGCATTACCTTTTTGTCCCTGCTTCCAGTAATAAAATAATTGCTATCTGGAGTCCAATCACAGGTCCAAATGATACGACTATGCACAGCAATGTTCTTTCCTGTGGCTGCAAAGAGGCTGAACACTGGGTCTGCAATGACACATCAACAGAAAATACGCTTTCTTGTTGCAGCAAACAGACAACTTTCCAGAAAATCACATCACCTCAAAAATAATGAGATGTTATCAGAAATCTGAAGCTGGGGTGCCCTCCCATCTTCTCTTCCAGATGGAAGACACCTCCTTTTGCAAGGATGTAGACTGGGCCTCCAGGTGTTGATTATGCATCCTAGATTATGTACCCTAGGAAAATAAAGCTTGCTAGCAGCAGAAGAATATTTCTGGCCATCTGGACACTGCTGATATATTTAGTTCAGATTGTAGTTCAGGTTGTTCATATCTCCTCTAAGGAATCCTAGTGTGAAGATAAGGATAAACTGTGAGACCTGCCAGACAGAGCTTTAAAACCAAAGCAAGAAAGTTATGGGCTCAGACCACCACAAGCCAGATGTTCTTTCTCCTTGCCTGGAAATAAGTCAAAGCCACTTCAAACTTAAATAAAGGATTGTTGCAATCTTAATCTCAATCTGTCTCCTTTTCTCACTTAAGGACCCCTCTCCCCTTATTTCCACATCTTCTTCAATAAGGATTAGATTGAAGCTGTGATACCTGAAGATGAAGTGGGTACGTAAGCAAGGTGGACAAAGGCCAGGAATCTTGTCTGAAAGATTCCTTGGGGAGTTCGTTAAGAAAGAACCAAGTTGTTAAAGAAAAAGCGAAAATGTCACCTGAACCAGACAAAAGTAGTTGGGCCTGACACACAGGTAACCCCTCTCTTTCCCAAAATCCAATCAACAGTTACCAAACTTGTAATTCAAGAAGGGAAGAGTAGCTGACAATCTTGTCAATCACCAAGCAAGGACTTTGGGAGATAAAAGGGGTCCTGAAAACCCCTCTCCTCTCTGAGTCATCTTTAGATCCAGACTGACAGCTTCCATCCCTCTGGCTAGTGCCTGTCAGCCTTGTTGAGAAGGACATGGGTAAGCGTAGATGAATATCTGTGTGCACATGTGAGGAAGACATGTGAGAAAGATGGACATTGTAGGCAGTAAAGATTTGCTGTTACTTTAAATTCACTGGGTCTCTGTATATTCCGAAGAACCAGTTGTACCTCAGTGTTTGGTGGAAAGTGGTTTGACTGTGGCTGTTGACCAAGGCAGTGAGTGTATGAGTAAGTGATCGATCATAAGCCAAACTGGGAACACATGTAACAGTACTTTATTCTGAATTTTAGGTGAGGACCTCCTGTTTAGGAGCCTACTGAGTGCATCGGTGTGGTCTTAGAAGATTTATGAACCCACAACTCAGAACAACTAGTGTTCTTGTATCCACTCTGATACAGCCATACTCTCACACTCAGTCTCTGGCTTTTGACCCTCATACCAACTCTGGGCCCGCTTTGAGACTAGAGATGCTATTTTATGCTTCACTATTCCTTTGAGATTAGTGGATAGGCTTAGCCAGGCTTTGTATTCCGCTTTTATTGCCAGTGTGTTCTTTTACTTGCTATGTCTGTCCTCATATCTACTTGTCTCAAAACAAGACAGTCTTTAGGAGTGCTATTGTTCTTGAAGACACCTATAGATCAATGAAGGAATCATTAAATTCTGCCAAATAGCACTCAATATATTCTGTTCATTTATCTACAATTTCTGTCTTCCCTTTAAAGCAGTCAACGTTTCAGAGTTATATTCCTGGAACCCAACTCTTTTTATAGACATTCTACTCAGAAATCAAGTAATTCATTATGTATGTACATTAGCAAGTATCAGACACCTTCTGAATGAAGTGGCAGCTGTGTCACTAATGGGGTCAATAAAGTTGTCATTATGTTTAGCAATCGCTCATCATCATAATGATATCATTAACTTAAAAATATTCTAGGTTTCCAGTGTGTCATTTAATAGTCAAACTATTGCCAGAACTTATTTCACCTGGTAACGCAAAACGCAACATTTTGAAGGCAGAAATTCTCAAATCCTGTGACATTAATGCTCTCTAAAATTGTCTAGGAATGAACAGGGAGAGTCATCACCACAGAAGTTTATTGGGTAACTTTGAGCTACGCATTTTCTCAACCCAATCTCCTTCACAGAGTGGTTGCTTCGAGGAAAAATAGGAGAGGAAGCACTTTATGAGATGCAAACAACAGAGAAGGCACAATTCAAGGGTCTGAGACAAGGTGGCACTTCAGTACTCTATTAGATGGAAGGGACTCAGAGCATACCCTCCCTGTTAGAACTGGTGGGGTAGGCAAAAGGAATGAGGGACAGGCGGTCCCGCAAATAGCCTGATCTTATGCCTATAAGGTATTATAGGCAGTAACCAATATTATGAACTGAGAGCTAGTGCAGCTTGGGGAGCCATAGAAGCACATTAAAAGAGACAAAAACTGCCCATTCTGGACCAGCTGCAGCTTCCAAATGCTCTTCAGCAGCAGCCATGCAGAGTGCATAACAGTCATTCAAAAAGGAAGTCACTAAGTCACCATGAGCAAACCGTCCTGGTCCAAGAATGGGTGCGAGTGGTGCACAAGACAAACCTGCACAAATGCTTCCACCTGCTACAGCTACCACCTGCTCTTCTAGCAGGCACCATAAGTCCAGGAGAAGTCCCAAATTTACACACCAACTCTAATTAGGGAAGTGCATTTCCAGGCAGAGTTAAGATGGAAAATCTCAAGAGCTGGGGGAGGAGGAGGGAGTGTAAAACCCACAGTCACTGTGTCTTGTCAGGGTTAAGCTGAAGCCTAGGATCCCCTATTCGGACCCGCCCCTCCCGCCATAGCCTCCAAGCACTAGGAGGGAAAAGAGTCACCCTCTCCATTTAAGTGATGAGTAAAGTCTGCACCAGAGCTCCAGGAACAACCCCAAGCTCCTTCTGGAGCCCAACAGAATCCATCAAGTGCCTGGAATGGATTGTTCAAATGAGACAGACACTCTCATTCATCAATTTCAAGAAAACAAAGAAGAATATTTTCTTGCCTTAACTTGGCTTCTTTTAAACTACTTACAAAAGAAGAAAGATGCTCCAGGCAATTTTTCCCCCCAATGCAACTAGACTGAGATAACAATCCCAGCCCCTCTCTCCCTCCTCCCCACTTTCAACGGGATACTCAGTGCTAGTAAATCTTCCTTCCACTCTTGCAATTTCTTCTTTGTTGCAAGTCATCGCTGTTCCTTCACTTAATTCCCTCTGCAGAGTGGATGTCAGGTGATGTGGTCAGAGATTTACACAAAAACCTTACCCGCTCCCACATGATTACACCTTTTTTTGACAGACACAAATGTGATGTGTTAAACAAAACTCTCAAGCTTCACTGGATCCAACATACTTTTGCATGAAACCTAATTTCTGATGTGGATTCTAACATATTAAGGAAGGCTTTGGATTTGCAGAATTCAAATTAATATTTCTGCTTTTAAAAAGTACATTAGCCTAAAGCCAATATATTTATTTTCCCATGCATTAATATCAATGAGAGCAAACACCATTAAAAAAAATCCCAGATACGGCAATGTATTATCGCAGCTACTACATTACACAGAAAGCTTTTTCAGATACTCTCAAACCAAAGAAATGCAATTGTTTCACTTTTAGAAATGAAAGAACAGAATTACTTCAAAGCGTTAAAGCCAAATTAAAACAACCATTCAACATTTTATACATCTTGGTTCTCATTTTTTTAGGAATACAATTCACACAAATTCTTACAAAGGAACTAAAATGCATTATTTTAAAAAGGTTTAGACCCTTTTTCTTTAAACAGTTTAAAAAGCTGCATCCATTTTTAACCATCAATCTTACCTGAGTCTCTTGGGTTGATATGATTAGATTTCCAAAGTGACCAATTTCTATCTCTTGAAACTGCTAGCAAGAATTTATCATTTGGGGAAAAAGACATCTGCGTCACTGTCAGATTGTGGAAAGGTAAGCTCTGCAATTGTTTCCAAGTTGTGGTGCTCCACAAAATAATGGCTGCATATTCTTTTTTAGAAGCCTGTAAAACCAAAAAAGGCAATACTGAAAACAAGCAGACACAATCTTGAAAAAGGACCCAAGGCCACACTGAAGCTACAGCTCTCCAAGGGTACTTAATTGTAACTCCATTAAGGAGAAGCCTAAACTGGAGTTGATGGTAACTGTAGAACAACAACCAGTTAGGCATGAGGTTATAGAAAGTTACTACAGTGGTTAAAGGTTAAAGAAGGGCAACCCATCTTCTTAGGTCTAAAAAACAATTTCTTGGCAAGAATCTTACCTACACTTTTTTGTTTATTTTAAACTATTTTTATGGAAGTGAATGCTTGTTTGTTTATTATTATGAATGTTCTATGCCTCTTCAAACATTTGACTCTGAGTAGTTTATAAGCAAGAACATATAAGGGTACCCAATAACATTATTATGAGGAAAAACTGGCACTCATACCTAAAAATAAAATCAAAGTATTTTGTATCATCAAACAGAAATTCATTGCATACTCAAGTATTTCTACCCACTCTCATCCATGTCCTCAAAACACATTGAAAAGGCCATGTTTTAAAAAGCTCCCTGAATATTAAAAAAATGAGTGTGGGATAGAATGCTTCCCAATCTTCTCTTGTTGCAACTCATGAGGAAGCATCCTCCATACACACATTATAGTGTCTACCTGTGAGATGACAAGGGCTTAACCAGCACCTTCCTCTGTTGAAATGATTGTACAGCTAAAGCTTCATGAAAAACTGCTATCTACAGCTTCTAGCACTTGTTCTCACAAGTGATCAGAGTCTGGACTCTAAAACTATAGATCAGTTCTTTTCAAGGGAGCACAATCCTATCCAGAACTAAAGCTGACATTGTTATAAACTCGGTTTTGGAATCCACAGCCAATACATGCAGGCCAGGTATTTGAATCTTAACCTGCTTTTCCCCATCCAGGCATAAGCAAGATCTGAGAAACACTTCTACCCCATAGTATCTGAGTTAGAGATGCATAATGATACTGACATCAAATCTCCAAAGGATTTCATATAGATATTAAATAAGGTGAGAGGGTCAAGTCCTGAAGTTTTCCATCTTGGAGTGCCAAAAGCTTCAGTTTTTCTTCTGTCATGGACACATGATAGGAAAAGCCCCATTGGGAAAATCAATAATGAAAGAACAGTGTTCCTTCTTTGAGAATTTCATAGAGATTCAGGATACTGTAGTTACTGGAATCAATAATTGCTAAAAGATTTAGTAGGATTAGTAGAAGTGCATTCCCCCTCTCTAAGCCTCATCACAGATCATCAATGGCAGCAACCAATGCAATGTCCTTCTCATGCCCTTGCCTGAAAACTAAATTAAAAGGATACAGATAATACTTTCAGCCCAGAACCCTTTGGAGATGGCCACACCTTCCCAATAACCTTTGTTGATAAGTGGAATTATGAAACTGGGCAATAGTTGTCCAATATAACTAGGTAGTTTCTCTTCCTGGGAATCCATACAAATCTAGGTGGGATTTAAACCCATAATGTTAGCCTCACCAAGTAGATCAAGCCAAGAAATCAAATCCCCAGGAAGGCTAAAACTAATTTTACTGAATGGCTATAACATCAGAAACTTGCAACACTAATTATGCTGCACATCCTTCTCCCTTCTTATACCAAAAGGAATTATGGAATTGTCTCCATGAATTACTTCCAAATATTATCTCATTGTTTGGGACTTTAAAATCTCTCACTCCCTTTTACTTAGGCAATGATTTGTGTATCTCTCTTTCAAGATCATTTTCCTTATTTTCTAAACATATCAGCACTGCTCATCTCCCAAAAGATCTCCATTTTTTTTCAGGATCAAATTCTTCCCAGATAACACAATTACACATGAACTCTAGCACCTGTTAGGATTCTTTCAAGATGGCTTCTCACTCCGAGTTGATGCAAAGGTTTTTGTCGGTGAAATACTCTGCTATTAATGTGTCATATGGACTATTGTTCCTTAGTTGTGTCCAGACACATTTCTCCGTTTGCTTATTCATTACATTTGTACTCTGCTGCAAACAAAAATACTTCCGGCATATCATTTGCTTTTCCATCCCAATCGTCTGATTAACCATTTGTAACAATTTGTAAGTTACATTTTGAAGCAGAAGTACTAAGACTGGAATAATACACATTTTAATGACATAAACTCTCCTACTTAAGAACTAATTGTAATTATATGAGCAAACAACTACAACAAAACCTTACAAGTGATTTATGCTTTTTCTACAGTGTACTAGGATAGAATACTATTTGCATCAAAATTGTAAGGTCTGCCTTGGCTTTTGAAAATCTTTTCATTTTGCCACATATACTATGTACCACTGATAGAATATAATTGAATATAATTGAAATCCTCTGTGAAATATTTTTATTTAGGGATTTTTATCACATTTTTAAAAAAATGTATCATAGCTGTGGCTTATTTTCACTATTTTTTGAAAAAACGAATGATGTCCCAACATTAAATCAATTATCCAGAGTTGCCAATTCTTAATATTCTGCTGAGAACATTAACCTCCAGGGGCTACTACTTTTAGACTTGACGGATTGTTAATATTGAATATATTATATTATATTATGTATGTATATGTTATATACATAAATACGTTTGATACATATATGTATGTGTGTATATGTCTATGTCTATGTATGTACATATCTCTATCTCTATCCCTAAAACCATTCAACACAGTGAACAATCAGATATTTATCACTTTGGATGTGAATTTCAAAGCTCCTGTTTAAAAGTATTTTCTTACCTTACATGCAGAGGCTATCACAGTGCCTGAATTATTGCAGGCAACACAAAAAATTTCATAACCATGTCCATATCTAAAACAATAAAGAAAATGAGATTGTAAAAGAAAAAGTAATCTCGAGTGCAAGATTCATACATTATTAATCAATTCAAATGTTTTGAAACTTGTTAATATTCAGTGAAACAATTTACCAGTCCATAAGCCCTGCATCTTCTAGAAGAAGCCTAGATATAATTTAGGATGCACATTGTCAGCCCTACAAAGTAACCCAGACCAACAAATCACTCCACAGGAAGGCTAAATCTACTGTTATTTAGATCAGGGGTGTCAAACTCAAGGCCTGGGTGATCAGACCTCCGCAGGGCCGCCCTGGAAACAGTGAAGGACCAGCCTGCAATGCCTCTGCCAGCAAAATTGGAGCTCAGGAGGGCTGCACGTAGCTCTCCCGAGCTCTGTTTTCACTGGCAGAGGGCTGCAGGAGGCCATCACAGCCAAAAATGGAGCCCATGAGGGGTGCGTGCAGCCCTCCCAAGCTCCATTTTCGCTGGCAGAGGGCTACAAGAAGCTGCCGCAGCCAAAAATGGAGCTCGGGAGCCTGTTTTCACTGGTAGAGCACTTAGGGTTAGGGTTAATGATTGATGTCGAGCTGGCCACACCCTACCTGGCCACACCCACCCTGGCCTCCTGAAGTCAAACACAACCCTGATGCGGCCCTCAATGAAATCGAGTTTGATACCCCTGATTTAGATTGTCTATAATAATAGAAACTTGCAAGTGTGACTATGCTGTGTCTCCCCCTTTTTATATCCATGTGACCTAAGGAGGTGTCTGAGCCATTTAACCCATCCTTTCTAATTGTTTTGAACTTAAATTTTTCTCTTCATTGCTTTGGTAACAAATCTGGTCTAGCTCTATTAAGGTCATCTCCTTTATTTTCTATAGTCACCCTCATTTCTTGCATATCTATTGTTGCCTCATTTTGTTAGGCTTGATAATTGCATCACTAATATCATTCATGAACTGAAGATGTGCTCCAGAGTACATCTTACATTACCCTACGGTGTAGCATTATGGAATATATTAACCATATTTCAGAGAGATCTATTTGCTTTCTCAGATCACATCTTTGAGCAACTGCTAACAACCCTCCAAAGAATTGTAGAGTTCTTGATCTACTACTTGAAATAAAAGACATATAAACATGTATTTCAGCTAATTAATAAGTTCATCTGTCTGATGTCTGAACAGTGTAGAACTACTGATACTTATTCTTTTATTTTGTGCTATCTCTCCTCAAGCCTCCTTGGAAATTTTCTAGCACAAAGGAAATAGTTCAATCTTAGGTATCTTTTGTTTTCTAGCCACTGTTACCTACTGTCTTTTTTTTTCTTGATAGGTAGTTTGGGCAAAGCATAAAAAGAAATTAAAAACTAATCATAAAAATAGCCAAGACACCATAAAAACCAACAAGAAAGAATAGTTAAAAATAGATTCTTGCCTAAAAGCTAACTAATCATTGTTATTTTTTTGGAGCAACCTATGATAGCACTCAGTGTTACATGAGAACACACTCAAGATTCTTTAGTAATGTAGGGAAGGAAGCAGAATATTGGGAGAAAAGCTTAAAAGTTTCCCCTGTCCAGTTTTGACTGACTCAAAATATATTTGACCAACTAGTTCAGTCCATAAGAGGATAAAAATGAAACAAATCTATCCCCCGAGTTTATGAATATGAGAAAAAAAAGCTTCATGTTGGTATAGCCATGGCCAAGTTACGTTCTAAAAACTGAATGGTAATAAGACAATGGTAATATTCTCCATGATGGTAAGGTACAGCGGTGGGATTAAAAAATACTTACTATCAGTTCTGTGGACGTGGCTTATTTGGTAGGCATGGCTTAGGGTCATGTGACTGGGTGGGCCTGGCTTGGTGGTCACGTGACTAGTTGTGTGGCTTGGTGGTCATGTGACTGGGTGTGGCCAACTCAATGTCACTCACGTCAAGGGGTGCCTCGCCTGGCCCCTCCCCTCCCCTCCCAGTCATTCCTTGTTACACCCAGCCACAACATATCTATAGTTCTGTTAAATTGTTGTACATCTTTTTTTTGACTTTATTATCTACATATTATAGATGTACTTTCATGTACCACTGAAAGGAGGAAATGGCTCACATGCTTTGCCCAAGAGGGTGATAGGCAACAGGCTTTTAGGGGACTGCCAGAAAGGGGGCATTTTCCAAAGCACCAGAAGGGAAACAATGTATTTTCCAAAGCACCAGAAAGATGGAAACTGAACAAAGAAAGAAGCAACCTAAAAGTAAGGAGAAACTTCCTGACAGTGAGAACAATTAACCAGTGGAACTGCCTGCCACTAGAAGTTCTGGGTGCTCCAACACTTGAAGTTTTTAACAAAGACTGGATAGCCATTTATCTGAAATGGTATAGAGTTCTCCCCAAGGTCCCTTCTAAGTGTTATTCTGTTATTCTGACACCTTCCCAAGACCTCTATTCAGATTTTGGCATCCTCAAGAGTTTTTCTGCCTGAGCAGGGGATTGGACTAGAAGACCTCCATAGTCCCTTTCAACTCTGTTAAACGCACCCGTATTTATGCTCTGGAATATTGACCTGAAAACCCTGAAAAATACCTGGGCAAAAAAAGGCAGTAAAATCACTCTAGGTGTAGGGACAGTGCAAAATATTAATATATGATAAATAATGGAATAATTAAAAATAATAGCATAGAGTTTTCTTTCTCCCTGCCCTTCCTTCTTCTTTTCTTTCTCTCTCTCTTTCTCCCCCTTCCCCTTTCTTTCTTGCTCTTTCTTTTCTTTTCTTTCTTTCTTTCTCTCTTTCTTTCTCTCTCTCCCTCCCTCCCTCCCTCCCTTTCTTTCTTTCTTTCTTTCTTTCTCTTTCTTTCTCTCCCTTTCTCTCCCTTTCTCTTTCTTGCTTTCTTTCTTCCTATTTTTCTTTCTTTCCCTTTTTTTCTCTTTATTTCTTTCTCTCCCTTCCTCTTTCTTTCTTGCTTTTTCTTCCTTTCTTGCTCTTCCCTTCTTGCCCTTCTTCCTTTCCCTTCCTTTCCTTCCTTGTCTCTATCTCACACACACACACACACACCTTTTCTGGGAAGAACTTATTGGGCGAACTCCAGAGCAGCAAGCGGCGGGACAATGAAGAAAGCAGCAGCCCCGGAACATCCATCCACCCTCCCTTTTGAAGCACACAGACAGTGGCAGGGGCGGCGCAGCTATGGGAAACCCCAAGAGTTCCTGGCCTCTCTTTTGGGGCACAACAGCGGTGGCGGGGGGGGCAGCAGTGGGGACCCAGTGGCGGGGGGGCAGCAGCAGGGGCCCAGTGGTGGGGGGGCAGCGGCAGCAGCCGCGCGGCTATGGGAAGCAGTCCCAGGAGTTCCCAGACTCCCTTTCGGGGCACAACAGCGGTGGTGGTGGGGCAGCAGCAGGGGGCAGCGGCAGGGGGCAGCAGCGGCAGCCCCGCAGCTATGGGAAGCAGTCCCAGGAGTTCCTGGCCTCCCTTTTGGGGCACATCCACCTCCCCTCTCAGCCTCAGCACAGCAGAGAAAGTGAATGGAAAGCCATTTGCTTTCTCTGCTCTGCTGGGGCTGAGAGGAGCAGTGGAGGTGCCCCCGAAAGGGTGGCCGGGAACTCCTGGGGCTGCTTCCCATAGCCACGCTGCCACCAGCGTTGCCCTCCCCCCACCCTCTGGACTGACCTGAAAGTGGCGCCCCACCTTGGCCTCCTCCCGCCCAGTGGGGGGGAGGCCTGGAAAGGCCCTGTGCGGTGGGCAAGGGCCTACCGCAATTCACAGGCTTACCTGTGAGCAGGCAGATCAGGGCTGTTCAATTGGGGCACAGGCACCACATGTTGTGTGACATGGTTAGGCAAGCCACGAGGGCCCAGCATGCCACATAGGAAGGGAGGAGTGACTGGGCGGCACAAGCGGCGGGCACATGAGCTGCGCGAGTGAGCAAGCATTGGGTAGCCGGGCAACTGAGCGACTGGTGAACTGGTTTGGGGGCGTGGCCAGCCAGAAGTTACTACCAGTTCGGTGACCCACACTTAATCACTGCTACCAGTTCTCCCGAACCGGTGCGAACCGGTTGAATGCCACCTCTGATATACACGATTAATATTAGTTTTTAGGGCTATAATACCAGTATTTTGGACTTTTCACTTTGCATTTTCTTTACAATTCAACTGTAGTGTGACAATTATACTGACAGGGTTGGACTTAGTGGCCTGAATGGCTTCCAATCACATGATTCTATAAAAATTACTCTAAAATAACATTAACTTTATATCTTGAAATAAATAAAGAACTTTTCATATAAAAGTAATTCAACCTCTTATAAAAAAAAAAGAGGAAGAAATAAAACATCTATATTCTTAACTATGTATATTATTATATAGAAAACCCAAAAGTAGAAAAATAACACAACATATTAATGAGACTCATTAACAACTCATATCTGCATCATAGAACAATTCAGTAACTAAACTGCAACATCTTAATAATCAAAGATGAAAGTCAGTTTGACTTTCTGGATTTATGGGATTCAACATCTATTTATAAAGAGTATAAGCTTCCACTCATTGTTTATATTGTAAGTTGGTCGCCTATGATTATATTCCAGAGTATTTTCCCTTTTTTCTCTCTGACACAAACCACAGAAAATTGAGCAAATATATTAACATTGAATCTACCAATGAATATTGGTCAGCTGGCTTAATATGTAAAAGGAGATATTCTTCAGAAGACTTGACCTCTAGAGATTTATGGAAAGAACTTGGACTTGGATCTCCAATCCAAAGCAGATCATAAAGCATTGTTATAATATGATTACTGACCACTGAAGAATCGTATAGCTGACTTTTTACTCGATGAATTTTTAAAACCATTTTCAAAGTCCGCATTAGATTCTACATTGATGACTCAAACAAGTATTTAATAGGGCAAAAATAACTGAAGCAAAATTATCTCTGTGCTGGTGTAACTGTACAGTTGGTATATTAATCAGAACTGATACAAAATTATCTGCTCATCAGTAAGACTATTTGG